AATGACTTCGCTGTCGTAAGAGGTACTTACTTCTACTACTTCATTTTAAAATATTTTCTTCTGATATATATATATATATATATATATATATATATATATATGTAANTGAAAGAGTGGGAACCCTGTATAAAGAGTATAGATAGATTGTATATATATATATATAGATAGATAGATAGACAGATAGATAAAAAACATAGCAAGTTTTAAGCTATTTTGGTTAAATACTAGATTTACTTATTTCACTGAAAGCCTTTACAACTACTTTCTACAAAATGAAAACCAAAAAAGGGAGAGTTTGAAGTAATTTAAAATTAATTTGTTTCGTAATTTATTCCTTTGAAGAAAAGTGTATCTATAATTCATTTTGATATAGCACTGATACATTTTGAGAAAAAATTTATTATAAAACAAAATTTTTTTTTTTGCTTAAAAATTTTATCTTCTAAAACAAAAGCAACACTGGCATGAATTTTTTAACATAAGACTTTTATCGAACTTTCTCCCGACACTTTTTCTTTTTAAAAAAGGCAGCAGCAGTTTTTATTAAATTACTCTTTTTAGGAAAACTAGGCATCTAAAGAGCTGCAATCGAAAAGAGTTTTCTTCTTCAGGAATAGAATGTTTTATAAAGGCTGTATACAAATCCATTTAACTGAATAACATTCCAAGAAACATACGATTTTATCTTAAAATTTTTTTCTACTGTTTTGAATTGCGAATTTTTATTTCTGTTTTAACATTTTAGAAATAACTTATTAAAATATGAAAAGCTTGAAATCTTAACAATACTTTTATTGAATAAACTTTGCTAATGCCAAAGTTTCAATTCAGAAGTCAGGAAAAATTATAATGTCCATGTGTCTATTAGAAATGCAAGGGAACTGGAATACAGAAAGGCGCTTTAATTACTGTTTTTAAGTAACGCTTCTTTTTATTTTGTTATAGTTCAAAACGTGTCAAAACAATTGATTCTCTTGGAAGAACTTAAGCTATAAGTTACATCCTTCAAGTTCTAACACTTCGTCAGAATAAATAATAACAGCTATTTCTACAAATTGGTAACTGACTAACATTTCACTAATAAATAAATTTTCAAAGCAGAGAATTGAGCATTGCGTAGTAAAATTTTATAAATTTTGTTGGGTTGTTCAAAGCTAATTTTAAAAATAGAAATTAAAATGAGTAAAAATAAGTTTACTAAACTATGAAATATGTGAAATACAGAATCAAGTACTTTGAACACAACATTCCAAATTTTGTATGTTATCTAAAAATTAAATTTGGGCTGTATTAACGTTTCCGACCAGCAAGTTCGATAGAAATTCCAGTTTTATTATAGTTATTATTAATATTATTAATCATATGTGAACATTATTTTATTAAAATTTTCAAATTAGAGTTGTTTTAGTTGAGATGTTAAGAGTTGCAGTTGCTTTTTAGTATGATGCCAGACGAAACCGAGACCCAACAATTATCAACATTTGTGGGTAAAATTACCAAATTTACTACCAAATTGCATGATAATAAAACCATAATTCATTGTTAATTTTACCGAAATTCATTACTAAAGCGCTTGGCTAAAAATTACCACACTTTTTAGTATCCCCAAAGTACTACAAACATGGTAAATTTTACCATCATCGGGTAGTTTTAACCGTACTTTTTTCGGTGTGTATACCAAATTACTGGGCAAAATCTAAACGAGGATTTATAAATATATTACAGCTTTCTTACTAAATCAATTTATATTTCGAAACTTGACTCTATTCACAATTAAAATCCGACAGTCCAAGATTTAAAATAATGAAATGTTCATTATTTTGTTGACAAAGAAATTTTGATTATCCGAAGAACATTTTGCTAGATTTGCCCATGATATACATTATATCTAGCTCAGAAATGATAAAAAGTAAAAGAAAGAGATATGAAACAAAGTCTCTTTTATATATAAATCTTTTACAAATATCTTAGATATACAAATAAATATTCAAAAAGAATAGAACGATTTGATTCTTATCAGCCCTATATCCACATTTCCATATCCATATATCCATATTTCTTTTACAAAATATGACAGTTTAAATTAGTTGAGTTTATATTTTGAAACATAAATGACTATAAAATATAAAAATCCTCCGAAAAGACTACAAAATCAGATGCTCAAAAATGATTAATCTTTCTGAGAAATGTTTACAGATAAGAATGAGGCTTAAGATGAAGTTTGATAAAGGAGACGTTTCATTCAAATAAACTTAAAGGCTTCCAAAATTTGAATAGATTAAAATAATAACGAAAGAGTGGTGCATGTTTTGTTTGTTATAGTTAAGACTCATTTATGTACGAAACATTAATCTAGTAAAGTTATTATCTTGGGAATATTCTATTTTAATTACGGAATTGGCTGGTTTATTTTAAATAGTTTAGTTATCAAAATCGCTTGAAGATATTAAGTAATCTCTTTTGCAAAATAGCGAAATCTGACTGTTACCTTGGTATGTCTTCGGTTTTATTATTTAATGGACATTAACTTTGTTCAAGTAGAAATTTTTATTTATTGCTATTAATAGAAATTATAAAGCTGGTTCAAAGAAACATCTTTTATTAATTAAATGTAAAGTTTGGCTAATTCTTAGTCTATAATTCAAATTTAAAGAAAAACGACTTACATTTACAAAATCATTCAAATTTTCCAAGAAAAATTATTTTGATGAATAAATAAACTGTTAAAACTTTCAGATCAAATTACGGTAAAAAGTTTCCGCTTTCATGATGCGGGTATTTTTTACCGTAAAATCCATTTTTATCGGAACATAATATGGACCAAAAATGATATACCGTAATTTTTACACTTATAATTTGCGTAAAATTACTCAATCACTCAAAGTAAATAAATATTACAGTAAAAATCAAAGTACAATATTTTACCATAAACATAGATCCTACGGGTGATGCATCTAAAGTGCCGGTACTCTACACCATAATTTGATGCTGAATTTTTTAAAGTCTATTCCTGAAAGGGTAAAACAACTGACTGTCTAAAATTATTGTGTATTAACTGTATTATTATGAATTATTATTCAGTATTAACTATAGGTTCCATCTGGAATTATTATATTTTATTATATACCATATAAGGTTCCGTTTAAAAATTCTATTCAAAATTAAATTGTGACATTAGAACTTTTGTTTAAAAAGTGTTTTAAGGCTTTTATTTGTAAAATAAATGTATTAAAATAAAATGATATGGATAAATGCATTCATAAAACTGGAATTGAAAATTGAAAGCCATTAACTTATTTCATACTGTCTGAGTTCCGGTACTTTTCATCGAATGCTACGGAATGAAAAATCTGATACGTGACATAATTTTTGCAGTAATTCCTAACATAACAACACGGAATCACTGTAATTAAGTGAATATTACTGTAAAATTTATGGTAAAATTTTTCACGGTAAAATAGATTTTACTGTAATTTGGATTTCATGGATGAAACAACTAAAGTGCTGGTACTTTTTACCATAATTTGCTCTGGAATTTTTTATAGTTTATTTTGGATACGTAGAAAAACTGTGTATGTGAAATTATTATATATGATTAGATATCTATAAATTTCTATTTCTAAAATTTTTCTATATTAACTCATAACAATGCGTTAGTGTAGACATATAATTATAAGGATCATTATCATTTATTTAAGAGAGTATTTTTTAATATAACAGGGACTAAATTGCTATTCAGAATTAAGTTTGGTTTTAGCTTGTTTGAAAGCAAACTTGTATTTAAAGCTTTATTTGAAAAGTAAATGTAATGAAGAAAAATGAAACGCATAAATGTATTTCGAAAACTGTACTTTATGACTGACATCCAAAAATTTATATCATGTTGATCGAAACAAAATATTTTATAAATTTTGCAATATTAAAAAAAAATATTTTATAAAATTCATAGTTGTAAGAATGTAAAAATAACTCATGGTAATAGTAAGCATGTAAAAATAGCAAAGGACTATTTCTTATTAACTGAGAGCTTAGCTTAGAGGTCACTGTTTTTCTTTTAAATATTTCAATAATGAAGGTCAAGTTCCTCTTCAAAATTCAAGCAAGATATTAAAACTCATGAAAATCCATACTTTCTTACCTTAATTTTGGCTCCTCTGAGCAGTGTGAAATGTATTTCGACCAAGGTGGTCCTTTGACTTTGAAAGAACAAAATTCTTGATGTTGTAGGCAACTGGTTACACTATAAATGCACTTTCCAAAATGCAGATGAAACAACGACACTGAGTAGAGTCTTACAAACGAGAGGCTTGCAGCAAGATCTGGGAAATTCCGGGTTTATAAGTTTGGTTAGGGTCAAAAATACAAATCAATAAATTTCTATAGTTTCAGTCCCACTATTTACCAACTAAGAAAACAATGTTACATTTATGCTTAATATTTGCATTAATAGAAACAGCTATAGTGACCATAATCAAAAATTTAATTATCGAATCTTACGCCTTTAATTAAGTCAAGTATATTTTACATTTCCATTACTATTTTTCTATTAACATTGGGTAGAAGTTTGAATAATTATAGTTGCATAAAGTATCCTTTTTTTCGGCCAAATGCAGTTTTCATCTAATTCCTTGTGATATATGTACACATGCCATGGAACATATACAAATATAATGACTAACATACATGATTCCTAGCATACATAATGTGTATAAACAAATCTTAAATATTTTTATGCTACTCGAACAAAAACCATCGAAACAGCTTAAATTTTTGACGTTCTCATTCAAAAAGTTCTCATTCAATAGTTATGCAAATATAATCTCTAAATGCGAAAGTTTCGAATAAATTCTTAAGAGCAAAGCTAATATAGACATCACAAAAGACTTCCACTTTCGAATTCCTCGTAATAAAAAAAAATAGATTTCTGTTAGTGCAACTAAATGAAGCTATCTGTGCCTTTTTACCTAGCATCTCATCTGATTCCTTTCTTTTCTTTGCAGTGCTCCAAGACTACAAAGTGACGGCATACGACGCTGAATTCATCATCAAGGGTAACGTAGCTCTTCTTCGCTGTGATATATCGGGAAATGGAAAAGAATACGTCTTTGTAACATCCTGGCTTAGAGACGATGGTCTGACTATTTCATTAAATGACAATAATGGTGAGATCCTGATGAAAGAGATATTGCTTTTTTTGTATACTGCTTGTGATATCAGATATAGCAAAGGGAAGGTTTCAAATAAGATTAGGCTGTCGGAGGAATACGTGATTTAAATACATAATAAAAGTGACGTAATTAAAACCTAAATATACGGTTTTTAAACAATTCATTAGGTAGTTTTTCTGTTCATATGGTAACTGCTTACCAGAAATTTTTGGTTTTCAAAATTATTGTACTCATTACCACACATTTAGGGAAAAGCACGAAACTGAAAAATAAATTTTACTGAAAAATTGGTTTTTATATGATTATCAAAGGTATGATAAAATTACGAAATTTTACTGCATAAACCAATTTCTGTCAAATATTATAAAATTATATTTATCGTTGATTCTACCAAAATCATCACCAAAGTTCTTTGGTAAAAATTACCAAGCTTTTTGAACGGTAAATTTTATTTTTTCTGGTAATTTTGAAGTTACTTTTTTTCTCAGTGTACTCTTTCAATTATATGTAGAATTAATTTATTATATCCTTTTGTGGAATTTGTCTGCTGATGCTATACGCTCGAAGTTAAGTAATTGTATTATTTGGTTTACATTAAAGCAATATAATATATACATACCGTTTAATGTAGAGCTGTAAATGTTTTATTTTGATTACCTTCTTACTTTCTCTTAGTTCAAAAAAAATATTTCGTTTTTTTTTCTTCATAAAATTTTGCACAAAATTGTTACTTTTTCTTTTTAAACGACAATAATTGTAATATTCATTATATAAAAACGTATACTGACATTAAAGTATTTTATGCATGTTGTCTTGCGAAACTTTCATTGAAATTGAGTTAGTATACTTTGGACATAGATATAATGACGGTTTGGGAGTTTAGATATCATAGCAAAAGAAAGGATTAGCATAAAATTTGGCTGATTTGAATGCGTTTTACTAACTTCGCAGTATTATTACTTTTTTGTGTTTAGATTTCACAGCAAAAGAAAGGCTTAGTATAAAATTAATTGAATTTAAATCAGACAATAAATACATAATTTTTTCTGAATGAAAGTAGCCTTTTTGTTTCAACTCGTTTGGATTCTTAAACTATCAAATGAGAAGGATAGCTATAATTTGGAAGATATAGGCTCATTAATGTTAATTTCTTCTCTTGAATTTTGCTGTATTTCTAAAATTATTTATGGGAATCAAAACAACGTTACCCAAAATTGTAAAATTTACACAGAGGAAAGCATTTTTTAAAAAAATTACCCTTTTGTATGGTAATGACATTCATGGTAAAAAATAATTATAATTTTAGTTAATAAAACCTAAATATACGGTTTTTGAACCATTCATTTGATGATTTTCGTTCTTATAAATACTGTTTGCTGGAAATTCTATGTTTCAAATTTAAATTTCTTATAGCAACACCATTAGTAAAAAATACTAAACAGAAAAGTAAATTTAACCACATAAATGTTTTTTATGCCAGGATTTAAGGAATTGCGATAAATTTTTTTACCACGTTTAACAAATTTTACTACACATTATAATACTATTTTTACTGTTAATTTGATCTAAATCATTACCAAAGTGTTTCGGTCAAAATTACTGAGCTGTTTGGTGTTCCAATAGAGGCAGATGCACAGTAAACTTTACTATATTCTGATAGTTTTAACCATATTTTTTTCTTGGTGTTTTTATTTAAATCAAAATTTCTGAATTTTTTTTTTACACTTATTTGTAAATTTTTCAAGTTTTATATAATAACAGTGAATTTTAACTTCGTTCTATAGAATATGTTCAATACCATGCAAGATTTGTGCAATAATGTTTCAAATTTTAAATTTTGTCAATCAAAATTACGCAATTTGTAATTAAAGTACTTGTGTTCCTATAAACTTTAATATTTTTTAACGTAATGAAACTAAACAGTCTAAACACTGAAACATAAATAAGAAAAAAAAATGTGTTGCTTTACACGATTCAAATACATTTAGTTTTAGAGACATGGCAAAATGCACAAAACTCAAAATAAACATTAAGGTTTCCGAAAGCCCTGCCTAAGCTATTAGGACCATATTTTGGGGGGTAAAGAAACTAAATCAATCAAAATATAAAAAGGGGCGTTTATTCAGAGAAAGTACGTTTTTAATGTGTTTAATAACTTAAAAAATTGCCTGCACAAAAAAATACAATAATTAAGTGTACTTCATAGCATATTTATGGTTAGATCGTAAATCGTAGCGATCGAAATAATAAATCGAAAATTATGGTATTCTATTTTCTCATTATAATCATTATCATTATTATTTTGCTCACTGCACAACAGAACAATAAAAGTGTAAATGCTATTTAATTTCTTAAATTGATTTTTTATTAATTTAATTTTAAAACTTTAAAAGTTGTCATTAATAATTTTTAAATTTATTTCAGGAAAATATGCAGTCTTTTCAACAGGTGAATTTCATATTCGTCATATAGAGGAAGCTGATACTCTACGAAAATACAGATGCCAAGTTCATAATAAATTAAGTCGAGAAACAAGGTTGAGTGATCAATGGGCGAAAGTTATAATGACAGGTAACTTATAAATTTTGATTAATCGGAAGCTGTTAAGTTGATATATTTAGAGCATAAAAATAAATGATGATGTAATTAGTTATATACTATGTAATACGAAAAATCAAAAATCAATAAATTCAACAAATACAAATGAAATCATTCATTTTTATAGGATGTTAACAAAATGTTGGAACAAAAATAATAAAAGTCTTAAGGAAAAAATTATTTTTTGTTTTGGTCTTGTGAAATTTATTTCTAGCTACGACAATTTACGTTTTCAATTTATGTGCCTGTCATTACACTCAATGATAGTTTTTTTTTTGAGCTTTTGATAGTTTCCATGATATGAAAATCTCGTGCTAGAATTGTGTATCAAACTCCACGAATACGAAAGAGCCTGTTTGACTATTGAACATTTATAAGTGTTAAAAATTAGTTTATGCTTATCAAATTGAGGACAAATTAATTTGAAAGAAAATTAATATTCCAGGAGATTATTTTACCCAAGAGTTTACTATTTCTGTTCTCGCAAAATTATATAGTTCATTTTTTGGTTTAAAAATCGTGAATTTGTATTTCGTATTTGAATTTGTATTGTGCTATAGCAACCTATCGCTTTGGTTGAAAAATAAGAAATAATCTTTATTGCTAGCATTTTTTAACTGCAATCAAAAGAAAATTACATAAAAATAAACATTAAAAATAATCATTTTAAAAACTTACCCTTTATAAAAACGTATTCATGCAACTTGAAATTTACTTTAAGAGTATAAATAAATACTCAGAAAACAATAAACTCTGACATTAATAAAATGACCTATATATTCAGTCTTAAGCATTTTAAAACAGAGATCGAAAATATTTTACAAGCGTATGTCAATCTGTTAGAAGAAAGCTTTGAATTAACTCCCAGGTGGATACAAGGTCGCTGTTAATTTATTTTTCGAAATGAAGATTTGCGTTAGAATTGCAAGACTAACATCAATTTGTTTAATTATTAAATTACTTAATGATTCACATATGAAACACTCGGTATGTAATGCTCTCATTTGAAAAATATTTATAGTAAGAAACGATTTACTAATTTTACAGCCTAAAACACTTAGTGTAGCAATAAAAACAATTTTATATATGTTGATTTCAAAAAGTATAAACATTGGTCACACTTACAATAGTCAGATGTATCGCTTTTAAACATCTTTTATTACACCTAATTTTACAAAATGCAACAGAGAACATATTGTTTTGACGAAGTACATCTCGTTTAAAATTCTGTCACATGTTCATAATGTCATTTGCTTAAGATTACGTTGTAATTTTTCACAAATCAGCTTAGTCTTTTATCTAAAACAAAATTCATATTTATAAACCAAGTTGAAGACATAATACAGTTGCACCTGACATTTAAGTACTTCTTAAAAAAATTTGCATTTACCACTATGCATGGAAAATATTGCATAGATATTCAAGAATAAAATACCAAATTTGTGTAAATAAATGTATTATAAAAGGCATCTAAACTATTTAGTTCAGTTATATAAAACTATTTACGTTAGATCCTGCAGATAATCTATACATATTTTTTTAATTTTTAAATATAACTTGAATTTTAATAATGTTTTCGTTCTGACATTTCCCTGAAAGCATTAACATATTGAAACGGAATTATTATAATGAAATTACAGCAGTTTTTTAAGGTGAGTGTTGCTTTTCATGGCATTTGTTGTGTTCACAAAATGTAAAATGAAATTTAATTAACGTTTCGAGTCTTTTGCACATTTAAGTCACTTTTGAATTGATGTATTATTTCGAAATTTCTCCCTTTTTAATAATCTATTTATAACGTGGAGAAATTAAATAAGAGTGGAAATGCGGAAATATTTTTGTTTACTTGCCTTTTACCCTCATTATTTCTGCTACAGGCACTTTACTCAATTTTATAACTATTCAATATTATTACTTTTAAAAAAAATGCTTTTCTGTTTCATTAAGTTTAATAACTTTACAAGCATCAAGCAAAATAATATCTCCCTACAAATAAATGTACCATTAAAATACGCTTAACAATATTCCTTCTTCTCATCTTGCTAAATCTGAGGACCTCAATTTGAAATAAAGCAATAAATAGATAAACCTTTATTTACTCAGTTTATGAATTCATAGTTTATTTAATTCAAATAAATCTTTGACCATTTTTATTAATTATGGGTTATTATTTAATTAAGAAATTTTAAGATTAGACTGAGAAAAAAAATCTGGATTAGTTACTTTACTGTATGGTTTTTACATTTCTGGTAAAAAAACAAACTTAATTCTGGCTAACAAAGCCAATAAATACGGTATTTAAAGCATTGGCTCGGTAATTTTTCCGTTCACATGGTGAAGGTTTACGGGATATTCTGATTTTTAAAATTACAGAACTTATTATTACACTATTAGTAAACAATTCAAAACTGTGAGTAAATTTAAACGAATAAAGAAAATTTAAACGAATAAAGAAAATTTAAAAGAATAAAGAAAATTTAAACGAATAAAGAAAATTTAAACGAATAAAGAAAATTTTACCGCAAAATAAATTTCACCGAATAAATGGTTTTTATACCATACTTTAAGGTATCATGATATAATTACCAAATATTACGATATCTATCAAATTTTATGACAAAGTATAAAACCATATTATATTGTTTATTTTACTAAAATCATTTACAAAGCGCTTCTATAAAACATAACCGAGTTTTTTGTGCTCCTGTAAATCCAGAAACACGGTAAATGTTACTACCCTCTGGTAGTTTCGATCATACTTTCTGCCCAATGTAACATTCTCAAATGGTGGAATATAAATAATATATTTAAAGACGTGTATAAATTTATTAAAGTACAAAGTATTTGTTCATAAAGTATTTATAAACAAATATTTATTAAAGTAATAATTAAAAAATTCCCTTAAAAGATTCGATACAGTAAAATAAAAAAACGGAATGAAAATATCGAAGAAAAAAAATTTACTAATTTATTTCGACATTTTTGAGCTGTGGCAAATTATAACATTTTTCTGAGATTACCAAAAAAATGTATATCTACAACATAAAATTTATCGTTTTGTTTATTCGCTTGCTTCAAACACATGTTTATAAAAAAAATAAAATAGTTTGATTAGATCTTGCCTTTCATAGCTGATTATTTTTTTTAATTTTATGAAGAAAAAATATTCGCTTATATATCACCATTTTATATCTCAATGAGTCAAATATCGTTTACAGTACACTTTTCAAAAAACTTTTCTTGTCAATTCAAGTTTTTATGTCAAGAAAATTTTAAACTGAAAAGTCTGTTTGAAATCAGGTAGTCTCAGCTAATAAAATTATGCTGTTTTCATGCTCCTGCATACATTAGAATAAAGTGGTTTACTTCGAGTTTACTTTTTTCGGAAAGTATTTTCACTCAGATATAAACTTTAATGAAACCAAGCAAGAAAAATAAAGCATAAAATTTCCAGTTTCCTAAGAATAAGGATTTTTGCAGAAGATTTCATAACAGAGTTGATAGTTTCAGAAGTAGGAGGAAAGATTTAATTTTATTAATTAAACAACTGATTTAATTTTATGGTAAATATATAAATAATATTCTCTATAAAGCAATCTATTTCTTGGGTTGAATGGGCTTGTAGAGAAAGGGAAAATTTTGTTGAAAAAATAACTTATAATAAATAATTTTGTATATAACTTTTTCTAATGCGAAATTAATATTTATTTGAAACTTATTTAAAATTACAAAGAAAAATTCTTTTTTTTTCTTCAAAAATACCCTTAGATGTGAGGAAATAAATATTATTTTTTAAGAAGCATTTGTTTAGTCTTAACCATGCGACGTTAAGAGAATATATATAATTAACATAACTCAGGAAATTTTGCGAATGCTATGAATTCATTTGAAACTTGTTTCAGAAAGAAAAGTTTGTGCGAAATCGTTTAAATGTACCCACAGTTGGGAAGAAATAAATACTCAAAATTCTAAAGAAGCATTTATTTAGTCTAAACCACGCTATGTCATTCCTACTGAGAGCTTATCAGTGAGGTTGAACTCTCATTCGCACTGAGAAAGTGGGTAGTAGCGCTCATCCTATAGACGAGAGGTCATCGATCTGAAGAGGGGTGAGACGTTCATCCAATAGCTTTATAGTAAGATCCCCTGAACGAGACGTATTGCGCTCATTTTTCCCCTACTGATATTTATGCATTTCGAATTGAAAGTCTTGAAGTTTTACTGACTACTTTTCCTTAAAAGAATTTTTTATTTTGCTTATTGATAAATTTATTTCTTGATATTTTAATGAATATAAATATGCTGAGATCCTTTTTGTTTATTTATAAGCATAAACTTGTAACATTTAAAATGGTAGTTTTCAACGTATTATAACAATAACACTCTTATTCTGAGTATCTATAACTAATCAATGCATTAAGCAATTTTTAGAAATAAATATTTTAATGTAGTTTTGGCAATCAAAATAATTTTGCTATCTATTTATTTGATAATTTAAATTCGAGTTGTATTAAAAATATATAATTAGCTATATTCTTATAATTTTAAATAACCACAGTCTATTTATATAATCCCCCTATTCAAACATGAATAACTTCAAATATAAAATGTGTGCATAAATATGAAACCAGTTAAGTGCAAACAGATATAAAAGAACATAAGACATTTATTTATTGAAAAAAAGTTTTTTTTTTTACTTTAGTGTAAATTTTTCTATTTTTATTGATGCTTGTAATTTTAAAAATTACAATAATAAAAATTTAATTATTAGGTAATTAGATAATAAAAATTTTCAAGATAGTTTCAATAATCTGATGAAAACTTTAACTCATCTTATAAAATGATTGGACTGAATGAAATTTTTGTCTTTTAATTTTTCTTTTCCAATTTCATAATAAACTTTTTCTAAATTCTTTTAAACTATTTCGAATTAAAAGCACATTCTCATATATGACATTGAAGTAAGATTTATA